AAAATCTCTTCTGAAATCGCCAGCACTCTGGATCTGGACCAAGCGTTGAGGCTGCTGTTATGTGAAGAATAAGATTACATTTTAAAATGTGTGAAGAAGGAAGCTGTATATGTGAAATCTGTAGGAATGCAGTTGTGAAATGTACTTAAAGGAGGTGACAGGAGCGGTGCTAATATTAGCCGTCTGTGGAGATTTAACATGAAGCGCAACAACGGTGTAAAAGCTGGACCGTGGTCTTTGTCTTTATCTTCACACACACACACACACACACACACACACACACACACACACACAGATGAGAGGAATGAAAGCTGTCCTGCTTTCTTCTGCCCTGCCTCTGCCAACTTCATTTGCAAATGAAAAGTTTTTTGAGGAGCATCCTTTTGCTTCTGGGGCATGGCAGCACATTGTGTGTTCAGGAGGGGGGCAAGAGGGTGAGGGGTACAAACAGCGAGCGTGTGTGTGTGTGTTGGTGCAGCAGATGAAGCAGCCCTCGCCTGAGGCTCTCTGTCCGCCCGCGGTAGCAGAGAGCCTGTTCTTTCCTCCCCGGCTCGCCGCGACCATTTGTTCCATTAACCAATCTCCTGGAGCCTCTGGTGCAAGCACACATGCACACACAGACAAACACACACACACATCCACAGGCATGCATACCTCAACAACTGCTTGCACAGCTCATGCTACACATGGCCCTCCATCCCTCTGCCATCCTTCGCTCCATCCCTCCCTCTCTCCTCTGCTTTCCTCCAGACGAACGCACCATCTTTCCTGGCAGAGGCCATATGGCCAAGATAAGCCTGTGGATCTACAGACACATCTGCGTATATGTTGCTACTCCGTTTTTAAAATACTGCATCATCTCCACACTATGTACACACACTCGGGTCTGGTGAACTCACTCTGCTTAAAAGTTTGCGTGATGTTCGTCTGCTGTGTGTGTGTGCTTGTGCGTGTGTGTGACCTAAGTGTGTGCATGCGTAGTGATAATTGGTGAAACAGGCTGCGAACAGCTGTGAGGTGAGAAAGGGTTGCGTAGTGTTTAGTACAGAAGGCAGAGGGGAGGAGGAGAAAAGTTAGAGCGCAAGTGAAGAACAAAAAGAAAGAGAAACACGAAAAAATGGAGAGGAGAGTCAAAAACTGAGAAACTGGAATTCTTAACATTATTTCCCATTTCAAACCCATTTCAACCTGAAAAGAAAACTATCCAGATATTTGCTGATATGAATATTTTGTTGTTTGTCCTAAGATTTAGTCCAACAGCGTATTTTGATGAAATAAAGTTTTAAATCTCACAAAATGTCCTTTTCCAATATTTGTTCATTCAAGAGAATGTTTCTGCTCATGTTTTCCTCACCAGAGCTGTTCCACAAATGTTTTAGTTTTGTTTTAGCGTTTCCGAAGAAATCAGAATTAAAACAGGAAAAGAAACAGAAAACTGGTCACAATTATCTGACCATTCTCAAACAGATGGTTGCTTCTGCTGCAGACCGTCGGTCACAAAAAATCACCTCATCAGATTTTTGGGGATGTTTTTCTTAGTAAATAGATTAGACATATTTTACAGAACTCCCTTTATGGTGTTTATCAACATGTAAAGATATGTTAATAAAAAATACGTGATACTTTGAAGTAGAACAAATGTAAAGAATATCTATTTTAAAAAATGCAAATAAAAGAGTTCACCTAAACTTAAACTACTTGAACTCACAGGCTTTGCATCTTCTCTAACTCTCTGCTGTCCCGCTCCAATTCCCCACCTTCTATTTCTTCTTTCCAAGCAAATAATGAATAAAAGAGAAAAAGAAATGAAAATCAACAACAATACACAAACAGTGAAATTAATAATTAACTGGTGCAGCAAAAACATTGTGTGCTAAAACCCCTGTGTAGTTTGGCAATCAGCTCGCCCATGTAAAAATAAATCAAGCTGATTTTCCAAATGTTTTGTGCGTGGTGCACTGTTGCGGCTCTTCGCAGCACAGATTGCAGGCCGATGGAGAGGCTGTGGGGAGGGGCGGGGCGCTGGATAGTGAACCCACTTACACCAGCTTGTTAACACGTACACCTTAGCCCCCGAGCGGCGCAGCGGGGAGCCCGCTGAGCAATCAGGGCCTTGCAGGGCCCAACTATACATACACCTAATATATAGATTCACACACGTTAGCTAAACCGCTAACACGCATGCTCAAAGTTCAGGCGTGTAAATTACAAACAAGTGACTCCAGGAAAGTTCTGAGACTCACTGAAATTCTTTCCTGCTTGTTGAAATGTAAAGAAGATTTTACGCAGGGTAATCAAAGAACCAGAGAGGAGATCGGAGGAGAAACAAGCAGCAGCAACACATTACAATCCTCTAAGAAGGTGCAATAAGAAACACATGTACGTACAGCTCGCCGTGAAACAAATCAACAAAATCATATGCAAATTACATGTTTTCAAACCAAATAAATGATTCTCAAACAGAAATCGTCCACACAAAGCAGAGATTACATATCCTAAACCACTAAAAAAGTGCTCAGGCACATCAGCGTTCATCTCCAAAGTGACCTGCTCTCAGAGTGAGCTCAGGAGACTTTTAAATATCAGGAGGATTCATCACCGAAGTAAGTGTCACAGCAGAAAATAAAACTTCATAAATGCCAAGAGTGATTATCGTGGTTCAGTTGGGAGAAGAGAGAAGTTAGGTGCCAACTTCCCAGCCAATCCACTTTTGGCAGCCGGAATCCGACTCTGCTTACTCTCCTGAGAACATGCAATAGCTACCCATATGCACGCACACACGCGCACACACACACGCGCACACACACACACACACACACACACACACACACACACACACACACACACACACACACACACAGGAAGGAACAAACCTCCACCGTAACATATGCACAGAAACATACAGAACATTTAATTCAGTCCTCGACAAATTAAACAGTTTTTTTTCCCTTAAAACACAAAAACAGCCAGAAACATGAGCAGGAGACAGCTGTGACTCAGTAAACTTTGTTTTTTGTTGGATGCATCTGCCTGTCGACAGGTTAACACCGGTGGGAGGAAGACAATATGTAGTGTCAGTGATGGAGCAGGAGGGAAGGGTGTGTGTGTGTGTGTGTGTGTGTGTGTGTGTGTGTGTGTGTGTGTGTGTGTGTGTGTGTGTGTGTGTGTGTGGAAAGTAGAAGTGGTGGTGGTTTGGCGGGGGGGCACTGGGGTAGATAGAGATCCTGCTGAGTGGGGCAACAACACCCCCACACCCTCGCCCACACTGACTGAGCCAGGCTGGATGCCAGGCGCCCTGTGGAGGCACACACCAACTGGGCTCCACACTCAGGAGGAAGAGACCCCAGCATCACACACACACACACACACACACACACACACACACACACACACACACACACACACACACACACACACACACACACACACGCACACACACACACTTTTAACAGCAGTTTTTAAAGTAACTAATGAAAACTCAATCGCTTGAATCAGATGACTCTCACCTAAAGTATAAGTAAAGAATAAAAATGTAAATCAGACAGGAAACAAAGAGTCCGGTGTCGGTACAAGATCTGCTCGGGTGCAAGATCGGCTCGGGGTCCGTCGGCTGCCGATGACGTCAAAGTAGTTGATTGGCTGAACATGAACCTTACGGAATTACATAATCACGTTACGTTGGTCCAGGCAAATCTTTCTATTGGAAAGATGGACAACTTTTACAAAGAAATCCATCATTACCTCTTTGAAAATACACTTTTAGCATAGAGCTGCATGTATATTAGGGCTGAACGATTAACTGCATGTGCAATTAAATTGCGATGTGACGAAAGGAGATTTTCTAATCGCAAAGGCTGCAATTTGGCAGCGAGTGGTTAGCGCAATGCTAATATACGTGGAAAAACCCATAGGAATGCTAATGCTAATATCACCGATTACATTCTTACAAATTATGAATTAGAAACGTGCCAAATGATTACATTTGGAGTCTAATAGAAAGTAAAACTACCATCAATCAAATAAGTACAGACAGGTATTTTAGTAAAGCCAGAAAACTTTTAACTCCAGAGTTTTGGCTAGCAGCTATGAGCGTACCTGAACTACTCATGGACAAGACGTCAAAAACTCTAAACACAAAATACTTCAATAAACGGGACACACTTCTTTCCTGCAGATACAATTTCACATGTTGCTAATACCTATGATCCTTCAAGAGATGTGCTCAAAGAGGTGTTCAACATTATGAATGCAATATAGTGTTTCATTTTACAAATACCATTATAATCACAAACTTACGTCTTAAGAAACATTATTTTAATAACGAAACTGCTAAATTCTTTCCAACAGTATAGATGTGTAGTTTATTTTGTCCGAGTGGGTTTGCCGTACTTTGACGTCATCGGCAGTCGAAGGACCCTGAGCCGATCTTGCACCGACACCGGTTTATTTTTTCAAAGCTTTAGGACCCATAAGAGTGATATTATTTAATGACGTCCAATTATTTTTTGTATTTCACTGCACAAGTTCAGCTGCTAATTAGGGATAGACTGATAAATCAGGATGATATTTACCATTTTTTAATATATCGGCATCGGCACACAGACCTCTGTAATAGAGACGATTTAAAGTCAGGCACATCTGAGGGCAGCTTAGAGCAGCATTAGAATTTAGTTTAAATGTATATTTAAATTCCTGAAAAATACCAGCTAAATAAAAGCTTTAAATCTGTTCTGTCAACAGACTCTTTTGTATATTTAAGGCTTGATAAGTTTATTGAATTATATTTTTGTTTTTATTCAGCTGTTATCCACTGTTTCTAGTGACATTTTAGCATACAAACAAGACAGAAAATGTGTAGATAATTCAGCCTAAAAACATCGCCAACACATACAGTATCAGAGATCGGCCGACCATAACCTCCACATATTGGCATCGGTATCGGCAAAAGAAAACCCGCATTGGTTGACCTCTCATGTGTTTCCTGTGTGGAGTTGGCTCACCTGTCCTTCATCCGCTGATGCACGCGGCCATGCTGGACACACTGCTCCTCCAGGTCAGAGCAGCGAGTTCTCAGACTCTTCACCGTCTCCTCCAGGTGCTGCTTCTCCAGAGCCAGCTGCTGCAGCTCACTTCTGCAGCCAAATGTAAAACAGCTTTAAAGCTGCAACCCCACCTCACCTCTACAGGAATAAACAAACTGTACGAAGAATTTTACTAAACTAGTTAAAAAACTTGATGAGTCATTGTATCATTAAAAAATTGTAAATGTTACTTTTAACTTTATTAAATCATCTATTTACATAGTCTTGAATTCTGCAGTAAAACAAAAATGCACAAAGTGGAAAAAGGCTACATCCTAAGAGTGATTTCCTAATTCCCACAGTCTGTGTCAGAATTCCCCACTAGTCCTCTGAAGTGTGATCAATGTAAGCAAGACACAAGACTGAAGAGCACAGTTTAGTTACTCTCATCTTGCTGCATTTCTCTCAGCCTGACTGAAGCCCATAAAGCTGCTGTCCGAGTTTTCCCCTTTCAGGAATTATTGTCCCGTAGAGCTCCATACAATGTGAGCGCCGTTCAGCACTAACCAAAGGCTAGACTACCACTTACATAAAGACGTCAATCACAGAGCGTACTGGAGCATTTAAGGACATACCTCAGTTGATGTAGTCAGTGACCTTTCTCATGGACAAGTAAGTAAATGAAAACACAACATGACATGAGCATAATAATTGTAAAACAGTGTGTTTTAGCTCTTTTCAGTTGGCTCCTTTTGAGGCATTGCTTTCGACCACAAATACGAAAATGAAACTAGGTCATGGTGTGATACACTTGTCAGCCACTAGATGGTGCCATCAGAAAAAAGATAAACAGCTTCTTAAACCGCTAGAACAGGCCTGGAATCCAGGGATCTCATTTATCAAACATACTTCCACACAGATCTGTGCGTTTTTCGTGCGTAGGAACAATTCTACAAATTGCGTGGTATTAATCATTTTGTACTTGTGCGTAGAAACATTCCTACATGTAAGAACATCTCTGACCCTGCATACGCGCAGCATCTAGTGGCAGAATGGGGAAGAGCGATACCGAATGTCTCAATCATCCAAATGTGTTTCTCATCCACAAACTTTATTTATCCAGTATGTAATTTTGTCAGTGGAAAAATGACTTTTTCGCATAATTGGTGCTAAAACCAATAAAAGACACCTGTGACCAACAGGTATCTGACATTATATCGTGGCTGATCTGTGTTATTGGAGGATTTACCAGAGCGTGCCCTCTGGAGGGAACGCGTTCTCTGTAAGCGCACTGATCTCAAAGGAAATCCTTCCGCTATGCTCAGATTTGGGACCCTTTGAGCAAGGGCGCCCCTAGAAAATTGCCACATCCCCCCCCACCCCCCACCCCCCCACCCCCCCAGACAACATTTCCAAATAAAACTCCAAACAGAACGACTCCTTAAATGGAAATTAAATGTTTTAGTTATCTCTGACAGGAACTTCTCCTCTGCCCCGACCACGTTTTTGACCTCTGTAACTTGTTTGGTTCTTTTGCGCTTCGGCTGCCAGTGTTTCGATCTAGTTATCAATAAAGTTTTTCTCATTTTTTTCTGAAAAAAATAGGGGATCCCCTCACATGCTGAGGACGAAGCGTGACCAAATATGGTTAATTGAGTGCATTCCTCAATGCAAATGGCTGTCAACAGGCACGAGCACCTGAGTACGCACAAGTGGGATTTATCAACAGCCTATTGCGTAGGAACATGCGTACGAGACGCCGCCGCATGTTTCATAAATCCGACTTTGGGCTGTTCATACAAACATTCTAAATTCCATTCGTAAGATAGATTATAGGAAGGAGTTTAAACTTAAGACACGAAACATCACACCCCTTACAAACTGTATGATATACACACACGCACAAAGCAGTATGTGAAGTGTGAGGCCGGAGCCCAGTGAGTCAGTGTCTCCTAGACTAAAAGAAATAGATTAATTATTTGCCCAAATTATGTGAAAGAATAGCGAGTACAATGATAAACTACTCAGATTACTTTGGTGTGTGTGTGTGTGTGTGTGTGTGTGTGTGTGGTGTGTGTGTGTGTGTGTGTGTGTGTGTGTGTGTGTGTGTGTGTGTGTGTGTGTGTGTGTGTGTGTGTGTGTGTGTGTGTGTGTGTGTGTGTGTGTGTGTGTGTGTGTGTGTGTCTTGTGGTTGGTGAGGCCAGTGCGGTCTGGCAGGGCCAGATTGGGCGCTGTCATGTGACTAATGTGAAGCACAGTTCCAACAGCAGACAGGACACTGGGCCCTGGGTTGCATCTATACACACACACACACACTAGCAGCCCAGATGGAGAGCTGGGCTGGCCTGCTGTGACTACTGTAGCATCAGGTTAACAAGAAAACAGGTCAGACTGGAACGCACTTTGTAATATTTTCACATGTTCTGCCGAACAGCCTGGACGGATGATGCTTTGTGAAATGATGACATGTACATCCAACAGAGGGAATCAACCACAGAGTGAGAGAACAAACAACTGTTCTCTCTAAATGATAAATGAGTTAGCCCATGAAATAGCCATGGGGACGACTTAGAGAATAAACGTTAAAAGAAGGGGAAGAACTGACCTGCTGTTCTGAGACAGATCTTCCATTTTGACAACCAGTTTGCTGCATTCTTCCTTCAGTTTCCTGATTAGGGAATTCTGGGAACTCATGATACTGTCCGCCTCTCCAACTGCAAAGAATTATTGAAAAGCTAACGTTGGTCAGTAGTACACAGTAGTTCTCAATGCTTTTTGACATTTAGGATAATTATATTTAGATAGTGGCAGCAGTTAGAAGTAAAGCCATCTCTAAATGGAAAAAATTATCTGTTTATTATCAGAAGGTCTGAAGAAGTTGTCTTCTCAAATCAAAAAAGGGTCATTTTAGGACATTTAAAAATATGAAACATTTCCAAAGTATCCCTTTAAGTTTGGCCAGTTGTGCCAAACAAACAAAAATATCTTTAAAAAGGCCATAAATCTGCCATGTTTTGACATTTAGAGTGAGAGGAGAAGCAGCTGAATAGTTTGATGTATAATTTGTGCACGCTATGTAAAAGTAAATTAAGAGAATAAAAACCGATACCGGTAACCTCTTAATGCCATTATCGGCTGATAACGCCAGACTTCACTTGGATTTTCCTGTAAGAATCTAATTTTTCAAGTAAACCAGAATATTCAAAAAATGTATTTAAAAAAAGTCTCCTGTTAATTACAATTATTTAAGACATATCAAAATCACCAAAAATCTGTACTGGCACATCAGAAATTGGTGTCAGCCATCAAAACTAGAATTGTATTTTCTGATGACAGAAATGGTATTAAAAGGTTTTGTCTTGTTATTTTTTTCTGTTTAGACATCTCAGTAATAAAAACAATAAAAGTGTGGTGAGAGCTGTGAAAGAACTAAGTTGGTCTGATAGATCTGAAGCATATTTATGAGGAGAAACTTGTTTCCGATTCTCTTCATCCTCTGGGTTAGGGTCATGTTTGCACGCCGATCTGCTGCTTTCATGTCGGACGCATCGTCTCCAAAAATTCAGCACCAATAGGTACGGTCGTCTTTTATTCCATCTCCCACAGCTGCTGCTCATCATGACCACGTTTCCCCCTCTGTGCTGATGATTGCAACAGCAAGTGATATTGGTTTGTGCTTTGAACCCAGTAATATTTTCTGAGTTGTTGTGTGTGCATGTAATAGTTTTTCCCCTGAATGAGAATTGCTGTAAATGTGATGCAATTTGCTGGGTTCCTTATATAGGAAACCTTTTTTCTGATTGGCTTAATGAACTGACCTGTATTGGAATGTTTACTGTGTGAAGTGCCTTGAGACGACTCTTGTCGTGATTTGGCGCTTTATAAATAAACTTGAATTGAATTAGACCCCATGTTTCCTTCTGGCCGGCTCAGGGTCCTGCGCCTGTCGATGATGTCACTCTAGATGATTGGCTGGAAGTGCGACTTACAGAAGTTACATTACCATGTTCAAAAAAATTTAGGCAGTAAGAAACATGAATTTAATAACAAAACTGCTAAACATTGGCTACCGTTAGCTGCACGCATAAAATTCAGACCGCTAACACTAGCATATTCCTGGATGGGACAGCTCCCAACTTCCTGAATTCTCTTGTAAAGGCTTACGTCACGGCTTGGCCACTTCGGCTAGAAGTGCCTGCACCACGCTCAGGTCAATCCAGATTCTTTTCAAGCCTACCAAGCACTACCAGAACAGCGAAGTCCTTGTCGTCTTTCAAGAAACTCCTGAAGACCCAGCTCTTCAGAGAGCAGGGTATCTGCAGGTTTAAGGGAGCCAAATTTAAGACATTTTAAGACCTTTTTTAAGGCCACTTTGACCAAATTCAAGCAACTTTTTTTATTTAATTTAAGCTATAATTTCCAGCTATTGCCTGGAGCCGGTGCTAACCACGTTGCGAACGTGGGATTAGCCATCCAGTTACCATTAAACTTGCACTTCCCCATGGCGCAAGCTCCCACTAGCTTAACCAGCTAATGTGCTCATCTAAAAATAGCCCCCTTTCACAACCAGCTGAATGTGTACGGTTCCGCTTACGCCAATATCATACACAAAAAATGCTGAACACCAACTAGGAATTCACGAAAATTTTATAGAAATAAAAGAATCTTGTTTATTGGGTCTTTGGTTATTTAAGACCTTTGGAAACTGGATTTAAGGATTATTTGTCATTTTTAAGGATTTTCAAGGCCTTAAATTTGGAATAGAAAATTTAAGACTTTTTAAGGACCTGCAGATACCCTGAGAGAGCATCTTCTAAACTAGCACCCTCCCAGCACCCGTCCCCCACTCTACTGTACACTCCATGTTCACTTCCCTCTATGATTGATTATGCTACCTCACTGCCACCTCGGATTGACTGATTAGGGTTTTGTTGTTAGCCTCAAGGGCAACCGGATGGCTTTATTACCACTTGTAAATTGCTTTGGACAAAACTGTCATCTAAATACAAAAAGATAAACTCTTTTCAAAACATATGTGAAAGAACAGAATAGAAAAAGAGATGTAATATATTTTAGTCGAGTGGTATTGCCGTACCATGGTGACATCATTGGCAGGTGCAGGACCCTGAGCAGATCTAGGAACTACAATCGGCATTGCATTCTCTCGATGGAACTAACTGATGGACCATCAAAGTCTGAGGGGTCACGCTGAGGTTGCATGCTTTCTGCTCCACAGGTAACATTTACCGTAATGTTTTTTACACTAGCAACAGTCACAGCTATATGGTGTAAAACTACCCTGAAATGTACATACTGCCCCCTAGTGCCAGAAAAATACACACTGCCACTATAATAATAAGATGTTTGTTTTTTGTTGTTGTTGGTATTCCTTAATTTAGCAAAAAGCTTAAAGATAATAAGACACAATATTTTCTTGCAATAAGAACGTAAAAATACGGTTTTGATTTGATTTATAAGATGATACCGCTTCTGTTCACACAAAACCTCTCCTATCAGAAAACTGAACTTAGCTTGTGGACTGTGCAGAGCACCAACACCTATTGTGACTAATACTGCTGCAGAAATATGTCCCTTTGAATGGATTTCCAAAATCCACGATTCAACAATCTCATTAATATCAAAACTGTTTAAACAACAGGAGGAGACGCACAGAGATAAACAGCCATACACAGAAAGCAGAGCGACAACATAAAGAGTATGAAAAGGGTAAAAAGAGATGGGTTTTTGTTTGAAAGCACTTTCTGTTTCTTTCCCACCCTTCCTGCCTCATTCTAATCCACACATGGGGCCTCTTTCTGAACAATCCAACAGTGGGCTTTCATCGTTCCTTTGAAATCATCTACGTTCAGCTCTCAAACATATGTCTACTCTTTAAAAGAAAGAGAAAAAAAATGAAATAAATAAAACAATGGCTGCCATTTGGATTGAGGGAATGATCCACCTGCTCCAGCATTCTGTTACTGTCAACCAACACCAAAAACACCCAAGGACTTTGAAAAGTAACTCAGACTTCTCTTTGCAGGCAGCATTCCTTAATGGGAGATGCTCGAACTGACAACAAGAATCTGAGGTAAAAAATCAGACTTTTTTTTTCTTCTGGTAAATTGTGCAAACTAATGATCAAATTAATGGTCAGTAATTTTGTTATTCATGAAAGTCATGAAATTGCTGCTATAAACCATGCACGGAGAGTAGAAGTCACATGATGCAGAGTTTTAAACTCCTCAACTATAACAACTCACTGCCTTGCATGTGCACAAACCCTCAACAAAGTTGGGTCGAAGCTGAAAAAGTTGCATGAAGAATGCTAATTAGCTGAACAGGCTTTGAATATGTCTGGCCATGCGTAGGCCAAAAAGAACCCTGGGACACAGAAACACAGCAGAACTGGCACTGGAAACAAACAGAGGAAAAGTGAGGGAGGGATGGACAGAAACAGATATCTGATATCATCTAGGGGTTGGTCTGTACACATTTACTCAAAAAAAGAAAAATAAATCAGGAAAAAAAGGTGGGAGGGAAAGGAGAAGAAGGGAGAGGGAGACAGATGAATGGATGCAAGGACAAACGGATGGACAGAGAGGCGGGATTTGGAGGACAAGAAAGCTAATTATCCAGCTCGTCTGTTGGGCTGCACGGGGAGAGGAAGTGATGCGAGCTACTATAGGACATGCACCCCTCTATCCCCTCCCCATCCACAGTTTCCTGCTGTGCTCTGATGTCAGCTCTCTTTAGACAACATGTGTGCTACCGACACGTGCCAGAAAGAAACTCTTTGTTTACCCCCCCACGCCATCTATTCTTCCCTCCATAGCCTCCATCTTTGTTCTGCGTACCAGCAGGCTCCCTGGTTGCTGAAGAGAACCACAGGTAAATAAAAAGATAGTATAGAGGAGGGAGGGCGCGCGATTGAAGGTGGGTGGTGTGTGTGTGTGTGTGTGTGGGGGGGGGGGGGATCCAGATGGTGCAACAGATGTGTTAACAGCAGCAGCTCTGCTGTGCAGACAGACAGGGAGCTTGGAGACGGGTCTTTCTGTGCTCTGCTCCCATCCCCTTCCCTCTTCCCTCTGCTCCGCTGCTCTTTATTCTCTTCTTAAAGCTCCCACTCAGATTCTTAGTTTTGTTCTTTTTCTTTTTGATGTGACTCTAGCTCAGCTGAGATGTGCTCCCGTACACATTGTTATGGAGTAGAGACCCGTCTGAATCATCCAGAAGGAGAGGAAACGGGTCCAGGTCTGTCTGTTTCAGCTAATCCACATTTAATCACAGATATTTAAGATACTTTCATTCAAGTTTAAATAAACTGAATGGTTATGTGTTGTTTCCAAAATGTTTTATATTAGTTGAGGTTTAAATGTCGTTCCTCGTTCCCTTCTGTTATTTAGTGACACCTGAGTGAAAAACAGAGCCAACATCTAGTCGTCTCCAGGAGCTTAGCTTCTCATATTTAAGCGAGTGACGTTCTCCTGACATTAGTCGTGAATTTTGTTTCAAAGCCAAACACCGCAGCATCAGCATTGGTAAATTTTTATTTCATATGCCATTCATAACTTTGTTTTACAAAGTAATAGTATAAATTACTTCCCTTAAACCACAACAGAAGAAAACTACAACTTGAGTGTGATTTGTCCTAAACGTGCAGGAAATTTATACACACGGCTTCTCGCTGAGAACCTTCAAATGCAGCCATATGTGAAGATCTGCGCCCACCATCCACCTGTCCTATTGTCACTCTGTGAGCTAAAGTTAGTATTTAATTATCTGTAAATTAGTTACTGATTTTGCCTTCTTGGTTTTCCTTTTTGTTCTACAGCATCGTAAAAAAGTAAAACTTTTTTACTTTGTTAGTCAAAGATTTTCAGACATGCCATGAAAAGAAAGAATCAGTATGATGTCCTCTGTCGTGGATTTAGCGATCTCAGATCATTTCTGTGTGGTTTTTTTTTAGCATTACCAGCATAATTCAGCAGGAGACCTCTGTGAGAACTGTAATGAAACGCCATCTAACCCCTGAAGTGGCTGCTGGTTTTCTGGAAACTTTTAAAAAGATCCCTCCTATTAATTTAAATGCCCCCTGTGATTTTATCTTCAATGATTTTAACAGCAGACTTAAATCTACTCTGGATTTGCTCGCTCCACCTAAAATTAAAAAGCTACAGCCAAAACCGGCTTCCCCTTGGAGCAATGAAAACGTAAAAATGTTGAAAAGATCTTGCAGGGCGGCGCAGAGAAATTGGAGGAAATATAAGAACACAATTAATAATCAAATATACACTAAATTATTAAAATCATACAACAAAGCTGTTAGAAATTCCAGAAATAATTACTTGTCTAAAATCATCTCTGAACACAAAAATAATCCCAAATTTCTGTTTTCTACAATTACAAATATTTTGGGTTGTGAATTTAGTTCTCTCCAGAAAACCCCCTCGGACTCTCTCTGTGAGGAGTTTGCAGCCCACTTCAGAGGGAAGGTAGACACCATCAGACGTAACATTTTATCCTCCCAATGTCATGCTGCTCCCGATCAATCTGAGTGTGTGTCTACCTGAGGAAACACTGGACAGTTTTGTCTTGGTTGAAGCTGAGATTATTGATAAAGTTTTCTCCTCAGTGAGGCCTACCACATGTGTTCTGGACCCTATCCCCACAAGGTTTTTACAACAATTTTATGACTCATTTAGAGATGAGATTTTAACTTTGATGAACTGTTCCCTTCAGACGGGGGTCTTTCCTGCTGCTTTTAAACGGGCGGTGGTCAGACCCATGTTGAAGAAGAGCAATTTAGATTTTAATGACTTTAACAATTTTCGTCCGGTATCCAACTTACCGTTTTTAAGCAACATTTTAGAGAAGCTTGTTTTAATACAACTTAATGATTTTATCAACCACCAACATGTCCTAGAGAAATTTCAGTCTGGTTTTAGGGTGAACCACAGCACTGAGACAGCCCTTCTGAAGATTTTAAATTATTTTAGAACAAATTATGATGCTCGGAGGGCAACAGTGTTGGTTCTGCTGGATCTAAGTGCTGCCTTTGATACAGTAGACCACACTATTCTTTTAACCCGTTTAAAACAGATCGGCCTCTCTGGTGTTGTTCACAGTTGGTTTACTTCCTACCTCACAGACAGGACTTTTATGGTGAGTTTGGATACCTGTTCCTCTGGGTCCACAGCATCACATGCAGTGTGCCTCAGGGTTCAATTCTAGGCCCAGTACTTTTTAACCTCTATATGCTCCCTCTGGGCATCAGGAGACATGGGGTGAATTTCCACAGTTACGCTGACGATACACAGTTGTACATCTCCGTGTCTCCTGATGACTCTCAGCCAATGGAAACACTTTTTAACTGCATTTTAGATATTAAATCATGGATGACTGAAAACTTTCTCCAGCTCAACCAAGGCAAAACTGAAGTTTTAGTCATCGGTCCTGAGGCCCAGAGAGAGAAACTTTTACCTAAACTACAATCAATGTCTTTTTATCCATCACTACAAGTGAAGAATCTGGGCGTTATTTTCGACTCTGAGCTGACTTTTATCCCCCATATTAAAAACATCACAAAAATAGGTTTTTACCATCTTAAGAATATCGCCAGAGTCCGCCCCATTCTCTCTCGGGCCAATACGGAGACGCTAATGCATGCTTTTATCACCAGTAGAATTGATTACTGCAATGCCCTGCTTTCTGGTCTTCCCAAAAAGAGCATCTCAGGTTTACAACTTTTACAAAACTCAGCAGCACGTGTCCTGATGAAGACCAGGAAGCGGGAGCACATCACTCCGGTTTTAAAATCACTGCACTAGCTCCCCGTATGTTTCAGGATCGATTTTAAGGTTCTTTTAATGGTTTTTAAGTGTCTTAATGGTCTTGGGCCTTCTTATCTTTCAGAAATGCTTTTACTATATAAACCCTCGCGGTCTCTGCGCTCCTCAGTTCAGTTTCAGTTCAGTTTTAGTTTATTTGTCATATGCAAGTTAGCACAGGGTCAACATTGCAATGAAACGTGTATGACGAGCAGCGGTCTCTCAGCAACATGATACAGGAGAAAATATAATAAAATATAATAAAAATATAATAAAATAAAGCAAAAATATATAGTAAGGAGCAAAATATTAGAGAGACATGGTAAAAGGGAAAAGATGACTAAATATATATGTGTCAATAAAGAAAATCCTGAAAAGAAATTTGACGGGAGGGCAGATGGGATATTGCACAGGAATGAGCTGCAGAAAATTACAGTATTGCACTTTAGATATAAATTACAGTATTGCAGGATATAAATTATGCAGGATATAGATTACAGTGTTGCACTTTGGATATAAATTACAATAACAATAAAGTGAAGTGACCAGTACGGATTAAATATAGTACTTGTGAAGCTGCAGGGTAGCTTCTGAGTCCTGTGTTGTGTGTGTTTAGGTGTTGTGGTTGAGGTGTCGTATGGCTTGATGATAGAAACTGTTTTTAAGTCTTGTAGTCCGAGCAGACAGACTCCTGTAACGTCTGCCAGATGGTAACAAGGAGAACAGCTGATGTGCCGGGTGGCTGTGGTCCTTGATGATGCTGTGTGCTTTCCGGAGGCATCGTTGGAGATAAATGTCCTGAATGGCAGGAAGCCTCATGCCAGTGATGTGCTCTGCTGCTTTCACCACCCTCTGTAGTGATTTACGGCTGCTGGCAGAGCAGCTTCCGTACCACACTGTGATTTTTGCTCGTCAGCAAGCTCTCAATTGCACACCTGTAGAAATTTGAGATGAAGCAGGCGCTCACGCCAAACTTCCTCAGCCTCCTCAGGAAGTAAAGCCGCTGGCGAGCTTTCCTGATAGTAGTGTCTGTGTGAAGGGTCCAGGAGAAGTCCTCAGTGATGTTGACTCCAAGGAACTTGAAGCTGCTGACCCTTTCGACCTCGACCCCGTTGATGCGGATGGGTTGGTGTTCCCTGACTGGTCGTTTCCGGTAGTCCACTATCATTTCTCTGGTTTTGCTGATGTTGAGAGTCAGGTTATTTTCCAGGCACCACTCGTACAGTGCCATCACCTCCTCTCTATAGGCCGTCTCATCATCCCCTGTGATGAGGCCTATGATGGTTGTGTCATCCGCAAACTTGATGGTGATGTTGGTCTCATGTTTAGCAACACAGTCGTGTGTGAACAGGGAATATAGGAGGGGGCTAAGCACACAACCCTGGGGCGTACCTGTGTTTAGGATGAGTGATGAGGAAGTGTGCTTACCAACTCTCACCACCTGGGGCCTGTCTGTGAGGAAGTTTAGAATCCAACTGCAGATCGGTGTTCCCAGCCCAAGGTCGACGAGCTTCGTGGCAAGTCTTGAGGGGATGATGGTGTTAAATGCCGAGCTGTAGTCGATGAAGAGCATTCTTGCATATGTATTCCCTTTCTCCAGGTGAGTGAGGGCGGTGTGTGTTGCCAGGGCGATGGCATCCTCTGTGGCTCTGTTTGTCCGATAGGCAAACTGAAGAGGATCCAGTGTGTCAGGGAGGGAGGAGCAGATGTGACATTTGACCAGCCGCTCCAGGCACTTCATGATGACGGATGTCAGTGCAACAGGACGGTAGTCATTCAGACAGGAGACCACTGATTTTTTGGGAACGGGAATGATGGTGGATGCTTTGAGGGACGTCGGGACCACTGACTGCCTCAGGGAGAGGTTGAAGATGTTGGTAAACACCTCTGCCAGCTCGTCTGCACACACTCTGAGTAGCCGGCCTGGGATGCCGTCTGGTCCTGGAGCTTTGTGAGGATTGACCTTTTTAAAGGCCCATCTCACAGCTTCTGTTTCCAGAGTTAGAGTTGCAGCCTCACTGTCCTATTGAGGGTAGAGGATCTCCTCTCTGTTGTCTGCATCAAAACGAGCATAGAAGTTGTTCAGCTCGTCTGCGAGAGATGCAGTGGGCTGAACACTGACTGTGCTGACCTTCTTGTAGTCAGTGATGCAGCGCAGTCCATTCCACAGTCGCCTGGTGTCAAAGCTGTGGTAGCCGGACTCCATTTTGTCCCTGTAGTCCTTTCTGGCCTTTTTTATGGACTTTCGGAGGTCATACCTGGCTGCTTTATATGCGTCAGCATCTCCAGAGTTAAAGGCAGAGGTTCGCGCTTTTAGCTTGGCGCGAACGTCTTTATTTACCCAGGGTTTCTGATTTGGGTATATGCGGACAGTGGTTTTTGTGATGATATCATCCATGCACTTCCCAATATATCCAATGACAGAGTCTGTGAGTTCATTGATGTTGCCATCAGCTGCATCCACAAATATCTGCCAGTCAGTTGTCTCAAAGCAGTCCTGCAGGACCTCCTCAGCCTCACTGTCCCATTTGTAAATAACTCTGGAAGCTGGTTTTTCCCGTTTTAGTCTTTGTCTGTATGCAGGCAGCAGCAGAATGGCAGCCGTCTCCTAGTTATCCCTAAAGTTAAGACTCACACCCACGGCGAGGCATCCTTCAAGTACTACGGCCCTCGCCTTTGGAACGGGCTGCCGGAGGACCTCAGGGCCGAAGGGAACGTCCAGGCTTTTAAGAATAGGCTCAAGACCCACCTTTTTAGCTTAGCTTTTAACTGATCACTATCTAGTCTGTTTAACTGAATCGTCTGTCATATTTGTTTATTTATGTGTATATATATGTATATATATATATATATATATATATATATATATATATATATATATATATATATATGTGTGTGTGTGTGTGTGTGTGTGTGTGTGTGTGTGTGTGTGTGTGTGTGTGTATATATACATATTTATCTCTTTTAATTAATTTTATCATTTTATCTACATCTTAGTGTTTTTACATGATTATGTTTTCTTTTACTATATTTATAATCACTTTTTATCAGTTAATTTTTATCCATATTAGCTTTTGTTATTTTACAGTTATATATTTTAATCCTCCAGTGTTTCCTCTGCGGAGCCCTCTGCCTTGGGGCCAGTGGTCAGGGGCGGCGGCGACGGCGGCCGGGGCGCTCCTCGGGTAGTGCCCGGGCAGTGGTGGGGGTTTCTGCCCTCCACCACTAGGCGTCATGGGCCGGTGTCTTGGCTGCTGGCATGAACCTGTTGCTGTCAGGGCAGATGGCTCCGCTGATGATGTGTCGTTCATTACCTGACCCATCTGAACTCAGCCTAATGTTTCCTCTGTTGTTCACGTGTGTGTGTGTGTGTGTGTGCGTGCGTGCGTGCGCGCGTGCGTGCGTGTGTGTGTGTGTGTGTGTGTGTGTGTGTGTGTGTGTGTGTGTGTGTGTGTGTGTGCGGGTGATTGTATGTCCACTTTGGAAGTTGGGTGCGGGAGGAGAGCCGTAATTCTCAGTTGTTTTATACTTGGGGAGGGGCGCTGGGATGGGAAAATGGGATCTATGGGGCCATTTTAATCTGTGAAGCACTTTGAGTTGTATTTTTTTTGTATGAAAAGTGCTATATAAATAAAGTTGATTTGATGATCATAAAAAAGCATCAGAAATTGTGTGTGAATTAACTCTTAGCGCAAAAGAATAAATATGTTGGGCTTAGAATGAGCAGCTCATCCAAAACAAGAAGAAAAAGAAGAATTTACTGTGAGGTGGTGTTACATTTGATCAGAAAGAAAGGTGAAATAGATTTAGCTTATCCTTCACTGATTGTAAAGTTATTTCCATCACATTAGAGAGGAGAGAAGAAGACAGTCAGATGCATTAGAGGAAAGTCTTACTGACCTCTCTGCAGGAGTTCAGCCTCAGTTTTCTGCAGCATCATGCAAAGATTTTTCTCCCTTTCTTGAGTTGAAGCGGTCACAGAAGACATTTCCTCTACGTGCGCTCGAGCTGCGTTGTCTCTGTCTTGTCTGTGGGAATATCAGATCCATGAAAAGTTATAGAAGCACGGGTTGTAACGGAGAGTTGATCCCAGGGATATTTGTGCTTGAAAAATCATGAATTTGGCTTCTGTTGTTGTTATTTATAGAATTTATAAGCTAACGCTCTGAAAAAAGACACTTTTAAATAATGGGAAAAATCATGTTAGGGTTTAAATGTAGACCAGTGTTATCAAGCAAGGAGCCTCCAATTGAAGAGAAGGCTGCAGGAAGTCAAAGGGTAAAGATGTCAGGTCGCTGTCAGTCTGACGACCCCTGAGTGACAGCAGCTGTATGCAACACGCACACACACACACGCACACACACACACACACACACACACACACACACACACACACACACACACACACACACACACACTGTGTGTGGTGGGGATAAAGGCTAAAAGTCACAGATGAATTGTTCTCTAAACATTAGAACCACATTTGATTTATATCAGCACCTATAGCCTAATCTGCTCATTCTAACACACACAAGCAATTTAACATCCATTCATAATTCACATTTATACCAACAGAATCCACGATTGAATGTTTGACACCATCTATCAAACTTCAACTGTGGCACGGAAAATTTGTGTTGCTCTTCATCAGAAATGAGCAGGTAAGAAAACAAACTTTAAGCAACTTTGCATTCTGTTCCTGCATGAATCAAACTTTATGATTCAAATGAGTCCAAATGCACAGAGACAACAGGGAAAGCAGACAAAGAAAGAGAGAAAAGAAAAACTACAAAGACGGGAAGAAAAAAAACGAACAAACAAACAGAACTCTTCCTGAAGTCCAAAGGCGCTAATGAAGAGAGAATTCTCCAGTTTAAGTGAAAACTTTTCTCCCCTACAGCGCTTGGCCTGCATCTCTAAAGTGACCGCGTCTGTCTGTTCCTTCGTGTGTGTGTGTGTGTTCTCCTGCTGTCCTGCTGTCTGGGGTGTGAAAGCGGGTGGCGGGTGTGCAGGGGACACAAGGAGACTGTGTGTGTCTGTACGCGTATGAGTGTGAGTGTATGAACCCCCGCTGGGCTTGAACAGCAGCCTGAGCCACCAAAGCGCACACCAGGGCTCAGCGGGAGATGGCGGGCAAGCATTGCCAGCCATTTGGTCCTGCAAGAGGTTCCAGGGGGCCGTGTATTTGTGCATGTGTGTGTGTGTGTGTGCATTTAGTGTGATGGGGGGGCGGAGGGGGAGCTCACACCAGACCTGTTTACCCACCAATTAGCATCAGACAGATCGCCAGAAAGTTCCAGCAGTCAGCTATAGAGCGGTGGCGATGAAGAGGAGGGTGACACAAACTAAAGATAAAAAAGCAAAACCACAGAGAACTGAACGTTTGGCATCTGGTTGGTCCGGATGCTCTCATTTACTTTATTAGATGTAACTTTATAAAGTACACATAACAGAGTGGAAAGATTAAAAGGTCTCTTTCGTGTGTGTGTATGTGTGTGTGTGTGTGTGTGTGTGTGTGTGTGTGTGTGTGTGTGTGTGTGTGTGTGTGTGTGTGGTGCTGCTCCCAACCATCATATCCTTGTGAAAACGCAAAGAGATCCTCACCTAAAGCAAACCAAAGCTGGTACATCATACTCCTGCCCTTTCACGCCATTTTGTAAACTCCATCAAATTCAGTGTCTACTTGTGAAAATGCATGGACAAAATGGCTACTGGTGACCGCTATCAAATCAAAACATAAAAGACAAAATCCAAAGGAGAGATGTCAGTGGGAAGCCAGAATCTGGAGCAGGTGTTGGGGGCGATGGCGGGGGTAGAATTTACGGTACTGGAGCTGCAAAGTTCTCCTTGGGCAACAATCTGCCAACCAGTTAATTGGTGAATGTGCTCAGGGATGCCGCCTGTGGCAGGAACTTATTTTTTGTGGGCCTGCGAGGTAATTTAGACCGAATGTTCAGTAAGCAGATAGCTGGGCCTGTTTGTCCATGCCTGGCCTGATGAACCGCAGGACAGCTTGATTAGTATGGCTGAGCTGCGTGGGCCAGAGGCCTTAGGTAGGCTGGAATGGCTCTGGGGCTGCAGCCAGGTACAGTGGCTGCTGGGTAAGTGGGAGGTGGCAGAGGCGGTGGCTGGCTGGCTGGCTAACTGGCTGGAGTGATGAGGAAGAAGAGGGAGCCCAGTCCACGCTGCCTGCTTAAGTGGGCACTATTCAAGCTGTTGCCCATTAGATGTGGGGAGCCAGGGTCTGACCAAGCGCAGAGTTTGCTGCACCCCGCAGTGCAGCCGGCATTTCTCGCCAGAAGCACCAAATGCTGCGGTTTATCAGAGAACAAGCACAAATTGGAGTCAGGCGGTGCACTTGGAGGAGCTGAGAGAGAATCGCCAATGCCAGACATCCGGACTGTTTTTTAGACTCAAAAAGGAAATAAAATAAATAAAACAACTTAACTCTACAAGTGAACACATTATCACTCAGGTACATCTACACACAACAAACAAGAGTCAAACACTTATAAACACATTTACAATAAGTGTCTATGTAGGACATGATTGTGAAACTAACGACAGAAATTCCTCGAGTCAATGCATATTCATGTCTTTGTTGCTCACTAACAGGTGGGAAATTAACATCCAGGTGAACAGACTGTGAACTGAACCTATAGCACAAACACAATCTTTGTTCACAGAAACAAAAACAAACAAGAAATAAACCGGATTGATTCAGATCCACGTGATCGTTGTGGCAAGAATCAAGAAAACTCATGGCAAAACTGGAGGGCTTTTAAAGAAACTTTTAAAATCTAAGATATAAATAAAGTTTTGATGCTACAGTACAAATCAGAACTGCAGGTTCACATATTAGCACTCTTTTCCTTCAGCTCATAACCAAGGTCTCATTTCACTATCAGTAGTTGAAACATTTGAATCTGGTTTAAAAGCCTATTTATTTCTGTGATTCAACATAAAAGGTAAAACTAATGAGATAGACTCGTTCGCTACATGCAAATCCAGATATTTCAAGCCTTTATTTGTTATAAATGTGATGATTATGGCTTATAGCTTAGTCTCAATATTCTAGACTCAGAGTCACACGCTAATCAGCTAATGAATCCAGAACACTTGCAAAAGGTTTCTGAGCCTTTAGATGGTCTCTCAGTCTATGTTGAATTAATGAAATTAACATCTACCCAATATTCCAATTCTTCAACGTTCACCTGTAGCTCATAATGAACTTTGATAGCTTTAAATTTTGACCCTGATATTTAACTAATTCACTGCCAATGACGACTAAAGTCGTCATTTGTATTTTTTTTACTGTGTGGGCATCGGAACGAGCCCCCGCACTGTGAGAACAATCATCTCAGCTCTAATGCCGATCCTCATCCGCGTAAGTCACACGCCACGTGATCAGGAAGCAGAAAATCCATAAGTTAGGAGATCATTTTGGGCCGCTGCTGTAAAAAAAGTGAGGCACGAACCGGAAAAGCTTCTGCCGATCACAATTCAACAACGGATTATGAAAGAACGGATAAAGCTCGAAATGCGCTTCTCTGCATTTCTTCTGAAAAACTCTATTTTTTACTAACCATGGATCTGATAAACTGGTCCTTCAGTGCGATCGATAAGATTTTTTCAACAATCTTGAATGGAGCAGGGGGCTCCCACATGTCCACAGGGGACACACCCGGTGGAATATATTTTGGATTCCTGGAAGGAGTGGAAGATCATATGCCTCTCCCAGCTGTCCATTGAGGACATCGAAGACGTGTGGATATTTGGTCTGATGATCACTGGATTTCTCCTGATTGGAGTGGGAAGATATCTGGTTTTCTGGAAATTTGGGGAGACGGGAGCGATTGGAGGGCGACCCGCACCCACGGAAAGCACCGTCCGTGTGGAGACTTCTCAGACTGGGACGTTACTCGAGGTGATTCGTAAGCTGGACAATGTTCTAGCTGCGATACCGGTATTAGTGCGCAAAATGGATGTCATCTCGGAGAGAGTCACCGAATGAAATGAATGTGAAAAGTCTAATATCGAGTCTATAACATACTGCTGTTTCTTATCTTTCTGAGCTCTATACACTTACTGATATATATCAGTACAGAAAAGCCTTAGCCTGGCAAGCCAGACTAAATAAATGTATTATTTAGTCTATTTAGTAAATTTAGTCAAACTTTGCAAAGCAAGAATTTGGTCTAGTTCACTAGGCTAGAAAAGCCTGACAGATCTACGTCGCAATGTCACTTTACGTTTACGTTTATGGATTCACCCATCTTGTCTCACAATGGGGAAGGCTGTTGTTGGTTTAGCATCCAAGAAACAATAGAGATCGCCTCAGCCAGGGAAGCTAGCCATTAGCATTAGCAACTCCACTACATAACAGAACTCCTTCAGGCTTGTGTTATTTGTGGAGATAAATTATCAACTTTGCAGAGTAAACAGAGTCAGTAGTAGAGTCACGTTGATGTTAGCCAATCAGAGATGAGGTTTCCAAACATCAGGAAATAAGACCCCAAATCCTGTAGTAGGAAGGTATTTTCTCCTCTGGCTGAATTCTCCATGCTGGAACAGACGCATCAGAGCTTCTTTTTTTTCCCCAGAGAAGGAAGAGAAGACCACAGCAAATGTATTAAAAACATGAGTGAAGTTGACCGTTAATGCATATGCACCATAATTATATTCAGTTAATAGAATCTAATCAGCGATTAACTGAGAAAAAAAGACTGATTCAGACATGAGTGACATGAACTGATGGTGTAGAAATAAAAATCACAACTGTTCTTAAAAGCACAACGATGATTCATTATTGTGGAGGAACTCCAGTGGAACAACAGCCATGCACGATGGATCGCATCAATCACAGCACATAAATATTCAACAGTTTGTTGTGCAGGACTACAAAGATGCTTATTTGATTACAGTTTGTGTGTGTGTGTGTGTGTGTGTGTAAGTGGGAGGTGATTAGACGGAGGCCTTGTGAAGGCCTCTCTAACTGCCAACAATAGAAACGCCACCACGGTGAAAA